CTTCTTTGCAGAGTTGTCATGTCATTGCTTAAGAAATATTCCTAGAAGTGAAATTCTCAGAACCAATTTACATCTCCAACAACAATGTTCAAGAGAAAAGCATCAGTTTTAACCTGGTATATGCTTGGTTTTATGGCTTATTACAAAATAAAAGCCAAAAAACGAACTACTACCATAAAATAAACAACAAAAATCTAAACAATAATGTTAAAAAATCTTGCATATATATTTGACTGATCATTCTACCAAGGATTTAACTGACAAGAAACAGTCTCTTTTTACATTTCCCAAATGCAGGCTTTGCAATTCAGAGCATTTCTAATTCTTTTAGCATGAACTTCTCACTTATAAAATTATAGTTATAAGCAGAATGCAATTAAAACATTTTTCTTTGAATAATTTAAAAAGTGTATATTTATAGTTCAATCTGTTGAGAGAACACCGAAGCCTGCTGCCTCCAGTAGTGGTAAGTATATGTGGTGACCAAATTTTGGTTTCTAAATATCACCCTCAATAAAAGGAATCAGGGTTCCTTGGTGAATTAGAGTAGAGAAAACAAGCTTAAAAAAATTGCTCAGACTTGAAGATCACAGAGATGTCCTTCAGAAGATAAATGGATACTAGGATATTATTCAGCGCTACAAAGAAATGAGCTATCAATTCATCAAAAGACACAGAGAAACTTTAAATGAGTAATAGTAATAAGCCAATGTGAAAAGACTACACACAGTGTGATTCCAACCACAAGATATCACAGAAAATGCAAACCATGGAGACACCAAATGATCAATGGTTTCCAGGCATTAGAAGGGATTAGGTGGCGCAGAGAGAACTTTAAGGGCAGGAAACTATTCTGTATGATGCTACAATGGTGAACATGTATTATTATGCATTTGTTAAAATATGTGCAGTGATCCCTCACCTATCCTGGGAGTTACACTGCAGAGAATTCAGCCATAGGTGAAAATCCACAAAGTAGCAGTGTTTTATTTATTTGATTACTTATAT